ACATTTTTTTTCGATTTCTCTGAAACGGAGCAAAAACGAGCATATGTCTATAGGACTTTTTTTCTTAGTTTTTTACTCCTCTACACGCTCCCGAAGTTTTGCCATTTAATTTGGAAACACCCTGTATATCGAAATGTGTAACATGTTAAAAGAACAGTGAACAATTTTCATTGCAGAAGTCTGCGGAGGATCGCCCGGCACGATGAGCCGGAATTTAGCAATGCCAGTATCTTGAACAGCATGGAGAAGTTCGTGCGCACCGTGAGCGAGATGGAGGACACCATCCTGGTGCCTAGCCGTTTGCTGGATCTGTCCGTGGGTGATGCGGGCGATACGATCTGCATGAAAGGCAAACGCGGCTGCACGGTGAAGGACACTCTGGCCAACACCGATCTGTACCGTCTCTACAACATCATTAACCAGATGAAGATCGAGTTATTGTGGTCGCAGGAGCCTACGCGAGGCACCGTGGCGGACGATCAGACGCCGATTAAGAGTCATCCAATTGGTAGCCCGTCTGCTGAACTGACGCACCATCAGGCTATAACCAGTGGCAGACTCGGCCACGTGCGTTGTCCCAGCACCACATCTATGCAGAGCGTACAAAGCGCATCCTCGATCGCCTGGACCTCCGACTCGGACTCTGAGAACGGCATTGAGATTGACAGCGGTCTAGAAGGTGAAGAATGCGTAGTCGATCTGGCAAGCATCGCCGCTGAAAACTTTAAGCGTCATCTGCGCGGTCTTCACAGCAGCATCGCCCGTATGACAGAGGCAGCTGAGTATCTGACGTTGCGATACCAAGCCGATGTAGGCGGGCAGGTCTGATTCTCCGCCGGTATCATTATCATCGCCATTGTTGTCGTCATCGTCGCCGCCCGTGCGTCACTGATTGTCATCACGTTAGTTGGCATTGCGAACAAATATCACGTCGTCACTTTGTAATCGATCTCATGGACATTTCCGCGATTTTCGATTTCCCGAGATTGAGAACAGAATTTCAGGAAACGCCGATGATGAATCGCAAAAGATTTTCTAGCATTGAACTAATCCATATCAATTTGTTATTTTATCGTATAATTTACTGTGTTAAAATACGCTGTTCACGCTAGTTTATGTGAATGATAAAGATACGTTTCGATAATGTATTTGGGACGCGTGATACGAGACAATAAATTGTCGTCGGATATATAAAATTTTGCATAAATAAACTATCAATTCCCAAATAGAATTGAGAGACTATGAGATAAGATATCTCGAGATACCCTTATCATTTTTGGCATAGCATTATGGCATAACATTAGAAAAGAAACGGATTAACGATTAGTCGTCCAGGCTTTGGTTTTCCTCATTGCCATTTGTACGGGTTCGAGTTTTGACGATGGGTGTTGCCTGCAGCAGACGAATAGAGGCTTTCGAGATGACATGCTATTGCAAAATGTTACAGTTACATGGGTAGCAAGAAGAACGGATAATGCTATCCTAAGAGAATTGGAAATTAATACGAATAAGTGTTTACTTCTATCCAAATGTAAATTCTTAAATTTGTCGGTCATCTTGTCAGACGAGATGTCATCGAAAAACTCGTAATCCAGGGGAAGGTAATGAAAAGCGACGGAGAGGACGTTTTCCGATTCGATATACATCGACCAAATAAAAACCTTATTGAATATGCCACTGAAGGACTTAGCATGATTTAGCGGAGGATTGTGAGGCGTGGCAGGTCATCGCGCAAATGACTAGATGAAAAGTTACGACGTTCGAAAAAACAATCAAGAAGATAGCATTATGGGGAGCTAATGTTTAGTTTTGTTCTGCTTTTAATAATATAGTTTAGCACCGGCAGATCGAACAAAATTAAAAGAACCTAAAATTAAGGATGGATGTGATTTATACATCGTTATTAATGTAAACAATTTTTTCATCATTATATTGGAGCACATTACGTTTCTAGTAATAGGTTTAGATATTACATATGTGTTTATGCAAGACATGAGGAAGATGAACATAAAACAAAAATATTGAGAAAGCTACATTTAATACGTGAATTATATAGTTTAGATCATTCTTACCTGCGTCACACATACACACACCATTCTAGATTGCATTTTCTCAAACAATTTTCTTTCGATGAAGCACCGTGTTGTTGAGAATAATTCTTTATTTTGTACTATGTCTCTACTTTTGTATTTAAAGAGTTAAAATTAATTTAAATTTGATTCAGACTGGCCGTTTTAATTCATGCTTACAAAAGAATTCAGTATGAAAATATAAATTTCATATCAATACAAGAATTGTTAACAATATGAAAAATAGCTAAAATAATTTTTTTTAAATAATTCATAAAACAAAGTTTGGCATTTTGTTATTCTATGGACATAGATTCTATAAATATACAGTTATCACATTTGATTTAAAGTTATCGTACATAGCAAATCTTATTCTCTAAATAAATTTAAACAATATATCGACCTCTTGAGAATATAAAAGTACTGTTAGACATGTGAACATTTTTAAAAACTATTTATAAATTGTATGGAAAGAAATGAGATAAAATCGCGAAATAGTTCCTGTATGTACTATTGTTGGATGTTATTTTATAACATATGCGATTTATTGTAACATAAGTCATGACTAGTGGTTTGTAATTAAAGTACCGAATTACCTCTGAATTATTGTAAATATTGCTACATCGAAAAAATGAATGCATTTTGGACATAGCGACTGAGTAAGATTGTACAAACTATACGTCTTGGAATTTGTGTATATCTATGGTAAAAGCTGTCGCGTCAGTTTCGCTAAAATATCCTTAGAGTTTTTTCTCCACTTTTAGATTTTTGCTTTCGCGAGCGAATTGTTAATGTTATCGAAATGTATTTGATATTGCGGCGACGACCGACATTAGTGTGTGTGTATATATATATATATTTAGCGCTCTACGATTATTTATTTCTACGTAATAATAATAAGAGTTTAACTTTTAAGTTGCACAAGTTGTGTATACTTGTTCGCTGTAAATCATTTTAAGTCGTGGTTAAAAAAGAACGATACACTTATCGGTATGTTACCAAACTGTTAGAATTTGAAACGCAGTCTGAAACTCGTAATCTACAGTTTACAGTGTACATAGAGCCGGTGAGATGTTTTCCCGACGCATTGATCCGAATAATACTGAATTTTGCACATCGGATTTGTATAGTTTGCGGTTAAGGATTTTTAAACTTTTAAAGTAAAATTATAGAAAACAGTAAAAAAAAATGTAGCGGAGGAAAATCGTTACTATTATAATGGTTTTTAAGCAACATAAATTATTTCTAATAAATGGTATAACTTTTAAAAAATATATATTTTAAAAGATATATCTTTCTATACTTACTTATAGATACATTGATATATTTTGCTTCATATTCGTGATCTGTTGAAAATCTTTGCATTTTCGAGACGAGTGGCGCAAGCTTTCATTTTTATTTTGTTTTTCTTTCTTTTGTATATACTTTATGTACATATAAAGATACGTAAATTATAGATACGGTGCCATATCTGTTGAACTTACGTTTCAACATAATCTGCATTCGTGAGCTGCGCAAAATTGTGGAAACCTTAAACGTTTGATACCAAAATCACGACTAGATGATTCGGATTGTACATACTGCGATTTTTAATTGCGCCACTAATCTGAAATTTCTTGAAAGATGTTTTTTCCATGCAATTTCTTTGTCTTCTTTCGTAGAATAAAAGGGAAGCGTTTCAGAAAAGGCTTTTAAAACATTTAAGCTTTTCATAATTATGCAATTGACTCGCTATGCATAGGTAAATTAAAGTTAAAGCTTAAGTTATATTAAGGATGATTTTTATATTCATTCCATATCGGGAGTTATATATCTTTATGATTGTTCTATGATATAATATCTCAGGGGTTTTTAAATAGTAGCATACACATGTATTGATATATTCATTACTATTTACATATTGATGAATTAATTAAAATAATTAAGAAGAATATCTGGAGACGGTAATGTCTCGGCGCTACGACAAGCGAAGCGTCATGGCGCGAGATAGAAATTATTTCGGAATTCTCTAAAATTTTACTGTTAAAAGCAAGTCAAACTGTTTAACAGCAAAGAGAAGACTCGTTGCTATACTGGATGTAAACTACGTAAAAAGTAGTTAAACGAGTATTTAAGAATCTCTGAGATTGTATAAATTATGATTACGTATGGGTCATAATTAACACGCGTAGTAATGTAATAACTAAAATACAAATACCGTGCTGCGATAACGATTCACTCTTCATGTGGAATCATAATCGTTAAAAAATTGGCGATGTTAATTAGAATGTTAATAAAAAATATTTGATACTTACATGCATTTATGCGAAAAAGAACGGAAGTGTCTAAGCGGAATATAATTAAATGTTTATTATACCGTTACGGAAATGAGACATCGAATTCTCGAAGTTGTTCTCAAGATTCTAAAAAATGTATAAAAGAGAATCACTTTATAATTTGTTTAATGTTATTACGAAATTTCTATTTTGAAAAAGTTCTTTTTTGCATAACTAAATCCATTGTGGAAACGATGCAATTGCGATCTTTGTATCATATACAAGACATTTGCTACGCAATCGAAATATTGTCGCACACAATATTTTGTGCTTCGATATCAGTGTCTTTTAGCTTTATACAAACGTGTTTATTAGTTGCATCGGAATTAAGGTGTTATACGGAATTGCCTTAATTTTATATCGTTATAACTGTTATAAGTGTAATGTTAAATGCTCAATTTTTTTCTGTAAAACACATGCTGACTTTAGCAGACGATATTGCGATGTGAAGATTAAATGAGCACATTGGATTTTCGAGATACTTGTACGGTATTTGTATATCTGCGCACTTGTATAATCTTGTAATGGTAATAAATTAATTACGTCCAAGCCTATTGTCTATTCTGTCTTACATAGCCAAGCACATAATTAACCCTCAACTACATGAGTGAGTCACTTGGACTCGGGTAAAAATTTTAGTCGGCCGCAATTTTTGTACGGTTAATATTGCAGAGTTAAAATGAGGCGTTAAAAAAACTTGGAATCTCTTTCTCTGTCGAGATCGCCGCCAATTGTTTCGTTGTTGTTTTGATGCTAATTGTGATACAATAAAAGTTTGGCTTGTGCCTATGATTGGCTAGTGCCTAATTGAACTTGTGCAACTGATATACACTCAGAGATATCATGGATATCAATAATGGATAGTTCTTGAAATGTAATGTAAAGGTGTAAAATTGTAATGTACAACTAGCAAAACATTGATCTGGAGAGAAATCCATTGAAATTTGATGTGTCTTATTCAATTTTAATTTGAAAGATAATAGCATTGATATAGAAAATGATTATTATGACGTTCCTATTCTCGATATCATTTAAGCCAATGAATGTGGTAAGGAAACGGTAGTAAGGAATATTTCTATATACATATATTTCGATGTTCATGAACATCTCTTTCAATATATTTAGTTTCATACAAATGATATATAAAGTACATTTGATGTTATGTAAAAAATATAAAATAACATCATTTAGCAGCTCTGTACAGGGAATGAGTTTTACACTTTTGATAAATCATGGCTTAAAATCTATTCATTATTGAGCTTTATGTTATTAATCGACAGACATTAAATTTTATTCGTTCGCATTTATCTCGCGCGACTATAAAACATGTTTTAGGCAGCCAAGATCTTTCAGATACAGCAAGGCATCAACTAGCATTTTGGATACTTCGTTTCCTCCGGCATATCTTTGTTTCTTCGTGCTTTCTAAAGGACCAAGATCTAATATTTCTTGTACTAATACTTCTGGACTGAGATATCCTAGTATTACCGGTATAAAGACACACATTATAACGAAACCAAATAGAGCACCTCTCTTAAAATCGCTCAACAAAGCGTTATACGAGTATTTCTCAATATCTTGAACGCCGGCGTTTAATAGATATTCTTTAAGCGAGTCATGGTAGGCTTGCATGAAATCGAGAAATTTTTCTTTTCTCATTTCATTCGAACAACATAAGTGAAGATATGTGGAGAGATCAATAACAGGCGTCGAGTATCTAATGAGCGCGAAATCAATTAATATTGGGAGATGCTGTTCATTATCGTCTTCTGTCTTGAAGAGAATATTGTCCAATGTAAAATCACCGTGACACAACGTGGCTAGAGGTTCAAGCGGCTGTACCGTTTTTATCATCACTTTTTCAAACGCGTTTGAAAGTAAGGCCTCCATCTTATCACAGAAAACTGCATCATGATCCTGGCTGCGAAGATATTCTACCACTCGTGATGTCTTAATGTTGCAAACAAACTTGTAAATACTCTCCGTTTTGTTTGTATACCTAACTTCTTGAATTTGCGTCGCGATATCGAAGAATTTTTCCCGTTGCATTTCCTTCATGACATATCCTTTACCATGAAATCGTCCCAACTCGCGCATCGCCGCTAATGTGTATTCCACTGGGGGATCATATTTATTATATGGACAAGAATAATATCCTTGTCCGTTGACATTTTCTAAGGCAATTACGAAGTCGGTGGGCGATCGTTCTTCGAAGTAGAAGCATCTCGCATAATTCTCATCCGGTCGGGAGTACATTTGATAAAACAGGATTTCGTTCCGAAATTGAAGATCAGTATGAACTATCAAACCGAAATCCGACGTGGATCTCTTCAATAGCATAGACAATTCTTCGTTTTGTCTATTTATTTTGTTCTCAAACTGCAAACGTACATGATACATGTACGACATAATAAAATTGCCAGGAAATTCGAGTAATTTATACCGAGTTTTGTCAATATCCAATCCAAGGTTCTTGATAATTTTCGGCATCACCTTGTCGATCCATCTTTGGACATTTTCGTGGTACATTTTATTTGAATATGCGATTCGCGCGTATCCGAATAAAAATAATGAAATACACGATTACTGATCGAGTTTATGCTTCAAGTACGGTATTAATAATGATTTCTTGTGAAGTCTGGCTTTTCCTTTTATAAATAAGAAGTATTTAGCACTGTGAAAAATAGGAGACTGATAATTGATAACACTAATAACGTGCATTATTGATAACGTGGTATTAAAAAAAAGTCAAGAATATTAAAACTATACCATCTTTCGATTAGTGTTCCACTGGAAATCGACCACTTTCCAACTAGAGATCAATAATTACTGTCGAAAGTGTCCAAACTCGAACTTTCTTTGCAGTGGTTTCTTTGCCTGGTTTTCCTGCCAGAGGTTTCTACGAACGATATTATTGAATCGATTGCTATTATCAAAATTTGTACTGTTTTATATTCTCTAAATAATGTCATTACTCATCAGATTTGGTCCTCTTGCCGGAGATACTTTTCCAAAATCTAGAGGAAAATATATATGCGTGTACTCATCAAAATTTTGAGTGATTAGTTGACGATTTTTTCCATATGTCGAAGAGTCGATGATTCGAGTCGGTGATTTCCAGTAACGTACAGGCGATATAACACAGTGTGCTTTTCTGTGCTTTCCAACTATAATACAATCCCAGTTGAACTGCTGTATTCAACTGTGTGTTGTTTTACATCACTTCTCGAATACTAAATTTTTCATTACCATTTATTTATTTATATAACTGTGTTTCGTTGCTAATTAAAAAGCCGGAGAGGCAATTGATATTATAGCGTACACTGTAAATGATGTGTTAAACACTCTGTTATCAGGTATTGATAATAATTGGCTTATTTAAAATACGACATGTAGTGGAAAAAAATAAGATAGTTTAAAATTGAAATTGAAATGCAGATGTTCCTTGCAGATGTTTCGTGTCTCCAAACAAAACGCAATAATTTTTCGAAAATTATAATATATTTTATAATATAAATTACATATCATAAATGACATAAAATAATGCATTAAAAAATCCGTGATTTACTTTTATTTTAAATATTTATAACAATAATTAATACATTGAATGATTGTGTAATATAGACTTGTATATCATTTTCTAATAAGGAACCATCTCAGTTTATACAACAATGTTAATGAAAATCCTTGATATCAGTAAAAGTTGACAATATAAGATGTAAATTAAGAAAAAAAGCAAGCCAAATAGGCACTTTCCATAATATTGTAGGGGTCTTCAAGACAAATTCAAATCACTATCGAAATGTTACCATTTTTATTGATATTTTATTATATTATTATTGATTTTATTGTTATATTATTATTGATTTTATTGATACTTAATATCAAATTTGTAACATTATTTGTAACAGCAGTATCTACATATCTGACTAAACACAGAACATACATATATACATACATATATGCATATATGTATACATATACTTATTTAATAAAATATGCAATAAAATCAATAAAACATCAATAAAAGTGACATTTCGACGGTAATTTGATTTCGTCTTGAAGACTTCGATGATATTATATAGAAAAAAATTGTATGGCTATTTAAAAAATTTAAGACGACTTTGATTTCCTTGTAAAAAAATTAAAAAATTTTTTAATCGCATGTTGTAGCCTATATAAAACAAATGAATAACTCATCCTTCAATCTTTTTTTAACTATCGGAAGCGTCTGAAAAATTGTGCAGATCGTTACGTTGAACACTTTGTATATTCATGCATGAAAAATTTTTTACCGGTAAGCACTCCACTTATCTACTTAAAAGTTAATATATATATTATTTATATAATTCTTTTTTACAATAATATATTGAAAATATGTACTTCAAATAAATTAATTTTAAATAATATGGAAAAGGAGAATAAAAAATAAATTTTATACAATTTTCCGATGAATTTTGCTTCGTATTATCGGAATCCTGTTTTCTGATTGGATGCAGAGCGTGTCGTACGACGAAAATCGGATGCAGTGTGAATCCAGCATAACGTGCACACACGTGCGCGTCCTCTAGCGAATATCTGTCAGTCACAAACAATAGATTTGTCAGCTGTTTTAGCTGGAAGACAACCAAATATAACGAATGCGTGATAACTGGAGGATTAAGGAATAAATCTGTTCTTATCGCAGCACCATTACAGGTCCTGTTATTTCTAAATTTCACATTGCGAACAATGTCATTCCTTTGTCGTCTCACTATCAGACGATAAGGAATATGTATGAACAAGCTGCGAGTAACTGGGCCATCGGTTTGTATTCTTTGCTGGATCCAACTAAATTTTTGCCTTTTCTCCCGAATTTATGGAATAAACAAGCAATCGGCTCGCGTTATCCAAATGACACGAAGGTACGGGACACCGATGTGCTGGTTGGATACCTTATCTTATTCTGGACGATATTGTATTTGGTGTACGAAAAGTGTCTTAATGTGAGTCCAACAATAAAACTTTGGTTGTTGTATATATTTCTTCTAAAACAAGTCTGTTCTACACTTTCCTTACAAGCTAAATGTAAGTCACTGGATAGAGTTTTAACATATATTTTTTCTTATCCAAGAACGTTTCTTTTCAAAAATTTTGTACTCAATAAAGTGATAGAGAGGTGGAAGTGTTTACTGTTTAGTGAGCAAAGTGTTGGACAAACTAAATATATATATATATATATATTTTTGTATATTATTTGTATATATTAAATAATATATATAAATAAAATATATATTTAAAATATATATTTATACTTTGTTTTAAAATATATACCTTGTTCTTTTATTGTGTATAGTCCCTGTTCAGGCGTATGCATTTTCCATTAGTACAGCGAAGCAGGATAATCGAGGCTGCATGGAACTGTGGATTCTGTTTTGGTAGTATATGTTACATGAAATCATCGACCATGCAAATCTTGAGCTTTGCATCCCACGAACAGGGAATGACATACCAGGAATTAGGGATTGCATTGCATAAGAGCTTTTACTTTCATCAAGCAGGGATTGATATACTATGTTATGGTGCTTGGATAAAGGGTTGCACAAACTTGCTTTTTGCGTCTTTTGTCTTGAATCCATATCAACAAAAGTAAACCTCTTAGTTAAAACTTTTTTGTTGTAGACATAACACCTTCCTTCATTTTTTAGACAGGCTTTTATTTGCTTAATCTTCATTTTCTTCTCTTGTCAGCTATTCTGTCTCCGTTAGAAAACTATTTTTGGACGTTCTTTTTAGCAAAGATGTAGTATAGTCAACTATTTGATTCTTATTCAATGTTGACAAATAACAAGAATGTAATTTACGTTGTTACACTGTGTCCTTGCTAGAAAACGCCTTATGTAAACTTTTAAACCTTGATTTTTAATTTACAACATTAAATTGACGTTTTTTGTATTAATGTTTTATAATATATATATATATATGTAAGATAATATATTATATATATATATGTATTTTTCACAGCGATAGGTGGTGTATAGTTACAAGTACTTTTTTAATGTATAAAACTATTGACATTGTAATAGTTAGTGTCTGTCGGATCTTGGTATGCATTTTTCAAACTGTTGGGAGACCAGTCTCTAAACTATTATTCCTGTTACACTGCCTGACTTGGTTAGTAAATATTATATTTTTAATCTATTATTGAGTTATTACGTAACAAAAATTATATGTTGATTTTTTCAGGATATATTTATATTTACATTATGTGCCTACATTTATGCTTTGGTCAGAAGAAGTTAAATATGCAAAGACGGAACCTGGCTTGTGGTTTTGGTTTGCAGTAGAATGTTTAGATTCGGTAAGAATAAATATCCTGTATATATGTATATTATTTAAATAAATATTACAAACAATGTTAATTTTTTTACATTATATAAGTGTATATGTATATATACATATATATATAAATGTTATATGTTAATGAAAATATACAATTAGGTATGGCTAAGATTGATTGGACATGCAAAAGCTACACATTGGCTTGAAATTTGTCTCTTTCCACCACCGACGCAGGAAGCTATTGAATTAGCTGGCATTCATAAAAGGCATAAAGAATCTTTGAGGAAAAGTAATATCAAAACAGCAAAGAAAGTTGAATTATGGCAAACATTAGTTTGTAAGTTCTACGTACTTATTTTTTATTTGAAGTTTGCATGTATGAATTAAACTGTAACTTATTGTTAGATAATGTATTATTATATGAATAGGCGCAATGGCAATTAAAAAGAAAATTAGAAGGATTCGTGAAGCTAAAAGCAGCACAGATATATTAATGAAAGATCCTAAGGAAATGGAACCATTGAAACGCAAATAGATGACGAGTTAGTGGAGAAAATTAGAATAGTAAAGTTATACTAAAATAGTTCTGAAAAGGAGCACATTTACAGAATTTATATCAACGATGCGAGCCTTTTTCAAACGAATTTATTTATACAAAGAAAGAAAAGATTTTGTTATCATGATGTTCAAAACATCGAATACGTACGAATTTTTTTTAAGATTGACTTATCATATCAGTGGCATATATCATTATGTTTAACGAGTACTTAAGCAAATATTTGTAAATGTACATTAGCGGTGGAACAAATGAAGCAATTAAAGTACGCTGTGTATACTGAGGCAATGAAAAAAAGATTAGGAGAATGCAAAAAGATTGTACTGCAATTTTTATACAAAAATTAAGTTTATTCCATAATTTCGTAGATTTACACCCGCTTACGTAGAAAATTCATCGTTTGCGCGTTTATAATTTAGTAGGATGTGTGATCTCGACAATGGTTAGTTGGATGATCCAGTAACGTTACAATCGAGTCGGAGGCGTTTTCTCGGGGCAGGCATTTAGGAGTATTATTGTTAATCGCTCTGTTAATCATTTATACAACTCAAAGCACATAAATATTACACTAATCGTCATGTTGTAGATGTAAAATACGATATCGGTTCGTTGAATGGCACTCTTATCGAAATTGAATATACGTTTCTTTGTATGATAGAGGAAGGTAACTGATATCGACATACCACTTTGTTTTTAGACAATATTTCTTCTAAATAAAAGGTAAAAATAGAACTTTAAAAACATAAATACAAACTAAAAAGTGTCTTCTTTCAGATAATATAAGCAGTTGTTATAATATTGTTTGCAATTTTGCAATAATTAAGTTTTTTGTAAGTTATACAAAAATGAGCGTCTGACAAAATGGACTCCAAAACTAACATAGTAGGCAATATATATATAATGCCAACATTCCTATTCTATAAATAAAGATATATCCTATTCTGTAAAGAAAACTAATTTATGAAACTATAAACATTTAAAATGACATAATATTATCAATAATACAGTCACTATTATTTTAATTACGCAATTTGCAAAAGAACACCGTATGAATTTTCTTCTCGGATTCATAGAATTTGTTTTTAGCTGATTTGGTATAGAAATGAGCCACAAATATATGAATTATGAGTTTGTACTTCTTTAATTAGCTAAACAGATCACGTTTTTATTAGTATTAATAAGATGCAAAAGTTAATTTCGAAGAAATAAAGGGATGTCGCTTTAGGAGACCTACGTCAGTATCGGTGACCTTCCTCTGCATTTGCACTTAAATCCTTGAAATAGTAAATTTGCGTTTGCGAAGCTGTACATATACGATATGTGACGCTACATATATATTATCAATACGAAGTTACGTTATCGTACAGTTTGCATTTGCGTCGATCGACGATATAGACATCGTCACTAATTCGCAATAACAAATTGATTTTGGGTTATATAAATTCGATTACAGTGGCTTTGATACGGGTACCATTCTTGCTTATGGCAGTAAATAGGTAATGTATAATACAAGTAGGTTGCGTTACTGTGCATTTTTGAACAACAAAATTGTTATCGCAGTAATTTCAGGGGTAACGCTAGAGACATACTTAGTATACAGTCTCGCTCTTAAAATCGACAAGACTTAGATTTTTTTAAAGTGAACATTATTTGGTACTACTTTTTTTATATCCTAAGAAGGAGTTCGTATATCTTTTAAATTATATATTGTATTTTCTAAATTCGTATGCAGTGTCTTTCAGTTCTGTATGATGTAAAGATATTGTCCTATCGTATTTAAATTATTGATAATATTATGAAAATATATTATCTAAATAAAGACAACGACAATTTATTAAATAAGTTTAATCTTATAGACACTTACAAAATATCTTGTTATATTGTTTTATATTGTGTGGTAAGGATTATTCATATGTTTACGGATGTGTAGCACCAGAGAGAGATGTAATTTGCATTTAACTGTTATTGCGTTTATTTTAATAGAATGTAATCGTCATCCTTATTATACGCATGCTCATGACTCAAACAATGTCTGTTGAATAAAAAAAGAAAAAAAATTTGGGCTAAAATACTTGAAATTTATTTCATTATCATGACAAAACGGTTGTATTTAATGTTTTGCATCAGTTTCACACGATCGCGAAAACAAATCAATAAGTGATGGAATCATCTGAAAAGAAGATATTTGTTGATTGTGTTCATCTCTGTCATAACATACATACGTCATAAGGTGATAAGATATAATTCGCAAATAATTGGAACATGTTTTTACCGAACAAAGTTAATTGCACACTAATTGTTTGCAAATTATCTTATCGCTTTATAAATATATGAACTAACAAACGCGGAGGCTCATATGGATATTTTACTTTTATTGGATTTATTTTTGAAGCCACAAACTAAATGTAATTAAAACTATTAATTAATTAATTAAACTAAATTAATTAAACTAAAAACTATTAATTAATTAATTAACTAAACTTAATTAATTTAGTTTAATTTAGAAATGTTAATTGAATTATACGTATATGTTATTTATCGACAAAATTATTGTATTTCGATTCCAAAATGATACATTGTAGGATTAATAAAACTTACAATTCGCATCCACCAGGTAAATTATCTATCTATAATTAAAATTTTCTCTTTATATAATCGCGCGCTGGTACGCTCTAAAGAACGTCTTTTTTTCGTAATAAATTATATGGAAACGTACAAAGTATCAAACATGGCGATTTACTATCTCATAACTTATGATTACATGTGTCACGCTAACAATAAATTATCGCGTTCATTTATTGTTTCCTTTTCTCTTTTTGGCAAGAATGACAGCGAGCTGCCGTGTGACGAAACGAATTAGAATTTAATGGTATTCGAGTAGGAAGACGACAAAAATTATCATGGGAAACACTATCAAACAATTCTCGTTATCGTATATTATATATTCCATCAAATCCTCAAATTTAATAAATGCCCGCCATGTCGGCCGGTGCAGGATGGTATTTGAACAAATGCAATTACGAAAGTTACTCTTATTACAAACATATATAATATGAGCAATAAAAGTTGAGTCCTCTAAACTTCCTCTTTTTTTATCTTTTAGGCCCAACCTGTACTCTGCGCCGTGTAATCGATGCAGATATTTAGAATTTCTTCATTTACTTTTATTTTCATTAAATAAATGAGAGAACATGCACTTTCGTTCTTTGTGAAAATATGGCCCCATTGTTACAGGCTCGATGTAGTGTCAGGAAATATAATATTACTCTTATTTTGTTCCTGAGTCTGCAACAGGCTTCGATTTTGTGCCATTTGTATCTTTCGCGTTGCAATTTCCTTTTTTCCTTCTTCCTTCTACTCGCGAACGTATCTCTTGTATGAAAGTGACCTAACAATATATTTGGGATATTGATTTATTGCTTGAGTCTCGTATATTCAGAATATCTTCTAACGTTCTGATAGAAAGTAGGGTGATGTTGACGGATGTTGCCGCGTCTCTATAAACACAACTGGCACGAAATCGCACTGTGTTAAGATCTTTTTGAATTAATTCTACAGTATATACGTGTTTTGTCCTCCCTTTTACCTACTATATATTCATTTCATTAAACTTCATTACATTTTCCTAATCGCGAAACAGGCCGCATCTGAATCCGATGATGATAAGTGAGCTCTTCTTATTATTCGAATTTATTACTGTATACACGCAAGATGAAGATACTATTAGATGTTTTAAACAATCTCTTGTACAATTAACTTGATTAGCAACATAGATAGCCTATTCAATATAGTAATATTTATTTCTTAAGCACATAAAACATTAAAAAAAAGAAATAGGTATATTAGATTAAAAAGAAAATAATCGCATAAATCTAGACAAACCAAAAAAAAAAAAAATATATATATACGACCAATACGAGTTGATAATGGCTGTAAAATCTATATTATAACTGTATATATCGCTTAAATCTTTTTAAGAGCCAGCCATTCCTTATTTTGTTTTATAATTGCACATTTCATGATTATATGTATAGGGGAAAGTGAGGGAACTGTACGCGCAACGGGTAATTGTGCGCATTCTGGTTTGGTACTTTTCCAATGGGGATGAAGACATCACCGTGGTGAAATTTTTACACAGGAGATCATCCTCTTAAGATATAACTACAGATATGACGTAAATACGTTGCTAATCAGAAAAATATAAAAATCACATCTTGTTTTGTTGTTTCAGAAAATAAGGTGATAAGTCCATATTTTTAATTTGTTTGTTCAAAGTTGCGTACGTTATTAAAGTATGTTATTATGTGCATTTTTTGCGCTATATTTATTAAGTTTGATTAGGAAGTGTTGAAGTAATCGTATTTCATATCGAGTCAGATCGCGGTGGGCAACTGTGCGCAAGCATTTTGAAATGCGCACAATTACCCATTTCCCATATACTATATGATTAGCATTAATTTTTTCGTTTTTTCTTTGCATTATTATTTTATTTTGCCATTATATTTTGTCAAAGTCTATGTGCATTATATTAGTTTTGTATTTTTGCTTAATATACAGGGTCTTCAAAAAGTCCGGAAACGGTCGAATATTTCGAAAATGAAGCATTTTTGAAAAAAATATTTCAGACAAAAATTGTAAGGTTTAAAATGATGTATTTACTGATCTAATCAGTTTGATCTTGGGTGGCATCGCCAAGGCCAGATCAAGGTCACGTCGATTTTTTTAAATGGAACCCCCTATTTTTCATTACATTTTCTTGTAGCTTACATCGAGAGCTTTTCAAAACATTATAATAAAATATTTTTTCATTAAGTATTTTTCGAGTTATAAGGTTTTGCACTAAAAATTCATTTTTACGTAAAAATGAAAATAAGAGGAATAATCTCCAATGGCCTTGATCTTGACAAATGTTATTCAGGACATGATCCTGAACAACATTCAAGAGGTTTTAGCCGTCGGTCGAACAACTTGCATAATGCTAATGCCGACTGCACTGTAACTTTCGAACCTTATAACTCGAAAAATACTTAATGAAAAAATATTTTATTATAGTGTTTTGAAAAGCTCTCGATGTAAGCTACAAGAAAATGTAATGAAAAATAGGGGGTTCCATTTAAAAAAATCGACGTGACCTTGATCTGGCCTTGGCGATATATATTTAATATATATTTATATTGCAATGTAATAAATATATTTTCTAATTTCTTTATCAACATTCCATAATTCATTCATTTCCTACGACTTTTGCTTTGCATACAATTACTCAACCCATGCGCACAATTACCCGACGCGCGAGAAATTTTTTCGCTTTTCCGTTTTTTCTTTTTTATCAAATACAGCCTTATTGAATGAAAATCTGTTCAATATAAGAATACATAATGGTAGAAGAATGTTTATAGTTTCTATTTCCATACTTATATCGTTTGAAACTTGGAAAACCATTCCAGGACAATAAATTTCCCTTAGGTGCGCACAATTCATCCAGTTTCCCCTACATTCGTAATATTTTGTTTCCTTTTCCCTTTTTGGCAAGAATGGCGGTGAGCCATGTGTTGAAATAAATTGGAATTTAATAGTATTGAGATAGGGACGATAAAAAATGTGGTGAGAAAGGCTATCAAACAATTCTCGTTTTTAACAATCCGAACGATAAATTTCAATTTTCCTTCAATCTAATTCGAAAAATAAGAAGATTTATCTTTTGTTCATCGGATTATATATACCTACACATTGTAAACTTCTTACACCGTTCATGTGCTACACGGAATCAAACGCGATCAGCGTGCAAATGGTTGCGACATATTCTTCGTCGTGTTACTCCTTCCTTTATCACCTTATTATGCGCGCGGGAAGCTCATTTCCCGCTGTAGTCCAGTAGAATTAAGGTTTTTTCGTGAAAAAAATATAAGTTGACATTTCTTTCGACAAAAATTTTCGAAAGGCTATAAGAAAAGAAATGCATATGTTTGAGACTCGCAATTTGTGTGAGAAATATGCGAAAAAATATGGATAGTTGCAAAAAAGAGGTTTTTCGCTTATAAAACGAAAGATGTTGATTGTGGAAAAAAGTTTAGTATAAAAAATGTAGGTTTTAATTCGAAGTACCTACAAAATGAGATGTGGACCATTAAGATTGGTCTATTAGTTAAGTAGAAAAAAAATAAAAACCACCGAAAAAGGTCTTTTCTTTACTCGCGCTCTCTGTTCATCGAGATTTAAACGTAAAACTTTGAAATTCTCATAAAATGTAGTCCTCGTGATAACGAAAAAATCTAGTCCTGAACGAGCCTGAAATGTTCATTAGTCTTTGCAAAAAGCCATTTTTTCACTAAAAACCTGTTTGTGGAAAACTTAATTTCTTTATTTTTTAGCAGTCGCACGGCAATTTACAGGAGTGATTTTTCTTCTTCAAGAATTGCACTATCACGTACACTTAATAACGAAACGATTTTTTGCAGTTAAACTATTTTAAAACGACTTTAAAAAGTAGGTATCTTTTCTCATATAAAAAAATGGATTAATTCCGTTAAGATGCATCATATCAAATAGCCGTGTGAAACATTCGACAGCTGACATTTTTTTACGAATTTAAAAAAAAGGTTACCCTCCGATTATTAAGATCTGAGATAACAATTTTTTTTTCAAAAAATCTGTAACTTTAATTTTTAAAATTAAGAGTTCCGTCTGACACCAATTTGTCAAGGAAGAATCGAATTTGCTGTTAAAAAGTTCTCCAATTTTTTGCTGTTCGAAAAGTTTGTTTAAAACCATTGGAAAGTTGATTTCAACATTACATATGTAAAGAAATAATTAATAAGTAATTTGCCAAATATTGCGAAAAAAATTTTTATATGGATTTAATATAATTTAATATAGGCTTAACATAATTTAATATAAATTTTATTAAAATTTAATAAAATACTAAATAAGATCTTAATAACGATTCGAATTTATTAAAACCTTATAAATATTTAATTTGGACTACATAAATATATCTATATTAAGTTATATAAAATTCTTTCTTAAATGTTTATATGGAATTCTTAAAATCTACTTATATTTGATCTTAATAAGGAGCTTATAAGTTCTTCATGACGTTTTGTATATCTTTTAGTTTTGTCGAAAAGGCAACTTAAAAAAGACATCTTTTTACGGTTGCTGTTTCGGAAAAGTGAAAAGTCGACGAAAAGGTATCTTTCGCATTACCAAAAAGACAACATAAAGAACATACCTTTCCATTACTTTATTTATACCATTCATCACTTAGGCCCAGTTCCACAACTCACGGTTAACTCTTAACCGAGATTCAACTTGTTTCTCATCTCTTTCCAATTCTAAAATTGGAAAGAGACAGTGAATAAGTTGAACCTCGATTAAGAGTTAACCATGAGTTGTGGAATTGGGCCTTACCTGCAAGCAATAGTACGCGAAATCGCCACCAAACGGATGCGATGGAGTTCAATTTTTCGAGTTTGAAAAACATACAAGATAGAATAAAAGGTGCAGCAGATAAGAAATTTTATGCATGTTCTAATGAGCACTAATAAAATATTTTTTGAAAACGAGTCCTCAAAAGGGACTATGATGAAAAATAGTGGCTCTTACATACATTAATTTAGTCATCCTTTAGTCATCTTTTAGACGACTTTGTGCTCTATATATACAAACACATATAAATTAAGACCATATGAAAACTTATTAAGATTTAATTAAATTGTATAAATTGGACTCAAATAAGGTTTAATAAAGTCTTATTAAACTCAATAAGTTGTTAATATAAACTAATTAAAAAAGATGCAAAAGATAGTATTATACATGTTGGTATTCATTTATAAAGTTATACAAAGTCTTTATATGGATTTCTATTAAATCCTTCTAAACAATTTATAAGACTTTTATTAAGCTCCTTATTTAGAATATATTAATTTTTTTTCCGGATTAGCGTAAGTGTTGAAGATAGTTGCAAAATATACTTTTCGTATAACACTATTATTTTGCGAAAGTTATACGAAAAGTATATTTTGCAACTATCTTCAACACTTACGCTAATATTTGGCAAATTACTTATTAATTATTTGTTTATATGTCGTATTTGCACCTGCAATTAAATTCACAAAAACAATTTCATACTGATAATTTCATACATTTAAGTGTCCAATTGAACACTTTTTACAGCATATTAAATAAATAAATATAGCTCATGTGACTTAAATTTGTTAGTCAGACATGGACTTCATACTTAAACGTGATTTTTTTAGTAATAAACCGAAAAAATAAAAATTCGAGAAACGAGAAACTAAAAATTTCATGGTTACAATTACTTTGCGAAACATTTGGTTAAGCTATTTGTTTATATCTCGTCGAGCTACTCCAGATTAAAAAAAATTCATGTTTCTACGTCAATTTATTACTGAAAAAATATAAGTTTAGCAAATTTTAACGCACGAAATCAGATACGCGCGAGTCGTCGAGTGACCCACTTATCCCCACTCGACCGCGCGCCTGCTTCCCCCACTTCGCCCGACGCGCTGCCACGCTCGCGCGTTCCTCAATGGTTTTCAATGGTTTTATACAAACGTTTCGGACAGCAAAATATTCGAGAATTTTTTAACAGCAAATTCGATTCTTCCTTGACAAATTGGTGCCAGATGGAACTCTTAATCTTAAAAATTAGAGCCGTAGTGATTTTTTGAAAAAAGTTTATTATCTCGCCTCTTAATAATCGGAGGATATAACTTTTTTTAAAATTCGTAGAAAAATATCAGCTGTCGAATGCTTTACACGGCTATTTGATATAATGCATATTAACAAAGTTATTCCATTTTTTTATACGAAAAAAAGATACCCACTTTTTAAAGTCGTTTTAAAATAGTTTTACTGCAAAAAAACATTTTGTTACTAAGTATACGCGATAGTGCAACTCTTGAAGAAGAAAAATCACTCCTGTAAATTGCTATGCGACTGCTCAAAGATGTAGAAATTAAGTTTTTCGCAGACAGGTTTTTAGTAAAAAAATGGCAAAAACTAATGAACATTTCAGGCTCGTTCAGGCTCGTTCTAGATTTTTTCGTCATCACAAAGGCTACATTTTACGGAGAATTTCAAAACTTTGCGTTTAAATCTCGATGAACAGAGAGCGAATAAAGAAAAGGCCTTTTTCGGTGGTTTTTATTTTTTTCTATTTAACTAATAAATCGATCTTAATGGTTCACATCTCATTTTGTAGGTATTTCGAATACCTACATTTTTTATAGTGAACTTTTTTCCATAGAATCGACATTTTTCATTTTATAAGCGAAAAACCTGCTTTTTGTAACTATTCGAATTTTTTCGCGTATTTCCCACACGAGTTGCGAGTCTCAAACATATGCATTTCTTTTCTGATGGCCTTCTAAAAATTTTCGTCGAAAGAAATGTCAACTTACAATTTTTTCATGAAATGGGTCTTTTTAAGTCTAATTCTACTGGACTCTACTGTGGCTTGGGAATTCTTAGTAAGACGACAAAATCAACGCGTGACTACGAATCGCTATCCCCTATAGGCCACAATTAATTAATATATATGTAAGCGTATTTCGCTTATTTCGTTATATATAGCAATATGACAATTTTAAATAATCAGGAAGTAAAATATTAAAAATAAGATTACTGAAATCAATTTGACTTCTAATGTTCAAAATTAAAAATTTACAATAAAATAAATTATTTACTTTAAATAAAATTGTGAAAGAAGGGCTGTTGGAGTCAGCGCAGTTAACAGTGCGAACTATATATCGTGTTTATTACATCACATAAACACGTTAAAATATAAAAAAATAGATGTTTCGACTCATCTTTGAGTCATCTTCAGTACAAAGCTAATAGTATAAAAGTGCTAATCACATTTCTGTAGTTTGTGTGGGTTGTTCAACAATTGCCTGACTTATTGGAACCAGAAACTGAAACAATGTGGACACACACAGTATAATAAAATGAAAGTACAAACTCCGTAATTTTAACAGCGAACATTCACCACGAGCCGCCGCAATCAATGGTATTTGTGTAGGGAGGTGATGGTCAGCATTACTAAATTGTGAGTGTGATACAATTTCTTTAAAATAATTTATATGAATATAATGATTGTAGTGATAATGGTCCTATCACGTCCGTGTCTAATTTGAAACTGAGAATAAATGTTGTCAATTTAACTAAAGTCACGATATCAGATTTTTTTAAATATATAAACAATAAGTATATTAAAGGGCATGTAAGAATCAAAATTTAAATGTAGTGTTAAAAATTGATAGCGTATATTACATAATGAATACTATTGTATTCTATCGATTGAAAATATTACATGTTTCGGCCTTTCGATTAGATCCTCTTCAGATAAACATGTAAATATTTAGTCACTATTGAAGACCGCAAAATACGCAGAGTCAAGATTTTCCTTATCTGTCTGTAAGTTAAGACCATTACATTATTTAATGTGTAACATTTTAGATATAAATCGCTTATATTTTTTTCCACATACAAAGCTTCTAACTCCTCTCAACGGAATTCGTGATTGTAATGCGTTCTATGCTCTGTTATAGCCGAATGCGATGTATTTCTTTTAATATGGTTAAAATGTTCTGAAATACGGGTTTTTAATTTTTTACCCGTTTGACCCACGTAAGATGCATCACAATCATTACAATTTATTCGATAAACATTTCTTTTTGAGGAATCAAGAAGTGAATCTTTATGCATTCTAATAATTTTATTCAAATTGTTAAGACTGAAAAAAAGATATTATTGTGTATACATTATTTACGATGCCTCTAAATTTATTGGAAATATTTTTTATGTATGGAACAGTGAACCAAACAGTTTTCGAATAATTATTGCTAGTTTTTTTTTGTCATATAGATTTGTTAACTAAATCAAGCATTTATATATAATCGTTCAGATATTGTGTCAAATATAAAACTAATCGGGTAGTCATTCTTTAATAAAATATTGACAATGAATTCCAAATTCTTCTGATGAAACGTTGGTGCGAAAGTAAAAATGCTCTGTTTACAAGGTTTATCACGGTTGTCTTTTTTTGACATAATAGATATTGGGAGAGATAATTTAAGTATCTGCCAGAAAATGTATTTTTATGAAATCAGTAAAAATTAATTACCCTATTATCAATAATGATCGTCGTGTCTAGAAAGTTTATTTTTTTTGTTACCAATTTCAATAGTGAATTGAAGTCTGCGATGATATGAATTAAAATGTTTAAGAATTGTATTCACTGAAGTAATAGGAACAGCTGATCACATTATCAACGTATCTTAAATAAAAGGGCAAATGTAAATTGCTCTTTTCATACGTTGATGAATTGCTATCTCAAGCACCTCATTCTCCAAATCCTGCCTAACTAAGTTATAACCGGTGATAAGGGAGATCCCATAGGCATACCATATGACTATAAGATTGATTATCGAAGTTAAAATACGTCGAATCCAAAATGAACTGAATGGCAACAAGGAATTCTTTTTTGATATATCACAATCCTGATACAGAACATCTCGTCTCTTGAATAAACTATCAATGGCTAATTCTATGTTGGGGATGTTGAGGAATAAAGATGTAACATCTAGTGAAATTAGGCAATAGGTATCATCAATGTGAATATTATTCAGTTTATTGGTTAATTCAAAACTATTACTCATGTAACTAGCTGGAAATGGAATGTTTTTAGAAATCATTTTATGTAAAATAAAAGTTCCTAAAGCATACAAGGGGCTGTCAACATAAAATACAATTATCCTAAAAGAGCAGTTCAGTTCCACCACTACAATAAATACGTCTATATGTCGCACCGGAAATAAATTTTGATTTCTTCCATCCGGTAAGCAACTCTCTCAATCCATTTGTAATTTTTCTTGTCATCCTATGGGATCCTTATCAATTTTTTCATGTATCAGTATCAGTATCAGATAACAAATTGTTAACTTTGTTAATATATTGTCAATGTATTGACAATATACTTTGTCAATTTCACTAGATGTTACATCTCGATTCACCAACATCCCTATAGTCATTGGTTACGTTCAGCAAAACGCAGCTTTGCAACTATTGTAAAATTCTTCAATATGATTGGTTTACATACATTTTGATCCAGTAAGGATCTAAGGGAAAGACCAATCATATTACAGAATTTAACAATAGTTACAAAACTGCTTTCTCTGATGAACGCAGCCATTGGTAGTTTATTCAAAAGATGGGATGTTCTGTGTCAGGGTTATAACATACCAAAAAAAAAATTCCTTAGGGCCGTTCAGTTCGTTTTGGACGTATTTTACCTTCGATAATTAATCTTATTAGATAAACATATGGTACGCCTGTGGGATCTTCCTTATCATTGGTTATAGCTGACTTAGTTATACAGGATTTGAAGAATGAGATGTTTGGGAGAATTAATTTATATTTGCCCTTTTATTTAAGATACATATGTTGATGTGGTCACGGCTGTTCTCATCATTTCAGTGGACACAATTCTTAAACATTTTTTAATTCATATCATCGCAGACTTCAATTCACTATTGAAATTGGTAACAAAAAAATAAACTTTCTAGACACGACGATCATTATTGATAATGGGACAATAATTTTTTATTTGTTTCATAAAAATATATTTTCTGGCAGGTACTTAAATAATCTCTTCCAATACCCATTATGTCAAAAAAGAGGAACCGTGATAAACCTTGTAGATAGACTGAGCATTTATACTTTCGCATGCAACGTTCCATTAGAAGAATTTGGAATTCATTATCAATGTTTTATGAACTACTCGAGAAAATGATTACCCGATTAATTTTATATTTGACACAATATCTGAACGATTAAAATGCTTTTTTGGTTATAGTAACAAATCTATACGACAAAAAAAGACTAGCAATAATAATCCGAAAACTATTTGGTTTACTGTTCCATACATAAAAAATGTTTCCAATAAATTTAGAGGCATCGTAAATAATATGTACACAATAATGTCTTTAAATAAATTGTAATGATTGTGATGCGTCTTTTTTTTTACGTGGTCAAACGGGTAGAAAATTAAAAACCCATATTTCAGAACATTTTAACCATATTAAAAGAAATACATCGTCGTATTCGGCTAAGAGCATAGGACGCATTACAATCACGAATTTCGTTAGAAGGAGATGGAGATTTTGGATGTGGAAAAAAATTTTAATAAGCGACTCAATATTTATATGTTTATCTGAAGAGGGCCTTTTCGAGAGGCATTTCATTCTCGAAGTCAACAGTTTTTAATGTTAGAAATCATAATGTAATCAAGTACAAATTACGATGATATACATGAATAACGTTTGAAATCGAATTAAGTGAAATTAGTATGAATATTTTCTACAAAAGAGAAATCTGCAGTTTAACGAGCGAATCTGTGCGAGTAGGTGCGTTTAAGAAACGAGTCAGCGCGAATTAATATGGTTGCGTTCAGCAGAAAAAACTAATCAGTCAGCGCTTAGCGATTCTTTAATATGATTCTTGCCTTTAGTTTTTCACTAGATCTAAGTGTAGGAACCAATTATATTGAAGAATCACTAAGCGCTAACTGATTAGTTTTCTCTGCTGAACGCAGCTAATGTTAATCAACAGAAATAAAAACGTAATCGACGAAAATAATGTCGCACAACGTTTTAACGTCGCACGTTAAAAGGCTTTCTACTTTGTACGCATGCGCACATAAACATTAGCAACGACTGCAATGGATTTCAAGCGATTTCAAAC